TAGTTTAGGCAATGTTCGGTGTTTCGTTTAACCGTTGCCGTTTTATACGATTTCCTCGAGTTCTTTCCGAGAAAGCGAAGTTTTACGGTTTTTATCGTAAAACTTGAATGATAGGTCGGATCGAGACGGAACGGGAGACGTTTCGGCCGTGGTTCAGAATGCGACCGTGTCGAAAGACGTAAGTTTTGAATCGGGGATGTGGGAGATCGAGGCGCGGGATATCCGAGAAGTCTTTAGTTCGCCCATCGGCGAACTAGTTGAGTGTCTGTTAGTTCGCCGATGGGCGAACTAGTTGAGTGACTCCTAGTTCGCCCATCGGCGAACTAAGCCGGGCCGGCTTAGTTTGCCGATGGGCGAACTAGTGGATTGTCTCCTAGTTCGCCCATCGGCGAACTAGTCGTGACTAGTTCGCGTTTTACGGCTGTTTCGGTTTTTTGCGGTTTCGTAAAATGATTCTTCGAGTTTTATAAAACGATCTCTGAGTTTTATAAAACGATCTCTGAGTTTTATAAAACGATTCTCGAGTTTTATAAAACGATTCTTCGAGTTTTATAAAACGATCCTTGAGTTTTATAAAACGATTCTCGAGTTTTATAAAATGATTCTTCGAGTTTTATAAAACGATTCTCGAGTTTTATAAAACGATTCTTCGAGTTTTATAAGACGATTCTCGAGTTTTATAAAACGATTCTCGAGTTTTATAAAAAAATTCTTCGAGTTATATAAAACGATTCTCGATTCTTATAAAACGATTCTTCGAGTTTTATAAAACGATTCTCGAGTTTTATAAAACGATTCTCGAATTTTATAAAACGATTCTTCGAGTTTTATAAAACGATTCTCGAGTTTTATAAAACGATTCTCGGGTTTTATAAAATGACTCTTGAGTTTTATAAAACGACTCTTCGTTTTAATAAATGAATTTTGCGGAAAGTAATGATTCCAGAAGTTATCTTAGACGTTGATTTCGAGATTACGGTTTTTGACACCAACAAAAACGATTCTCGAGTTTTATAAAACGATCCTCGAGTTTTATAAAATGATCCTCGAGTTTTATAAAATGATTCTTCGAGTTTTATAAAACGATTCTTCGAGTTTTATAAAACGATTTCTCGAGTTTTATAAAACGATCTTTCGAGTTTTATAAAACGTATNAAAACGTATTTTTATTTTTACTTTTGCGGATACTTTTAGCCATTGATTCCGTCGTGACCGATTTTGACACCAACAGTTAGCCCCCCAGCTCGCTAGAATCTTGAGCTTCTAGCGTAAGGTTCTTGCGAGTGGTTTGCCAGTTTTAGTTAAATTAGGCGGAATTAATGGTTGGAAAGGTCCGTTGAGAGTGATCTTTCCATTTTCCGGGGAGCGGAAAGCGTATAAGATTAGGGCTGCGCCTTGTGAAGGCTGCCTACGTACCCTTTTGAGGGGATCAAGCCTTTCGTAGTTCGTTTCGGATTTAAGGTTCGTATGACCCGTTTCCTAGCAAGACCTTTACGATCTAGTTATATGTTGTGTAGGAATTATCGAGCATATTGATGTCGATGGCATCTGGACCTTTGCCGGCCTTGAGACTAGCCTCGTAGGCCGTTTGGTCTGGCCGAGCGTGGCCGTTATAGTTTTTGGACTAGCCGTGTGCGGCTCTGAGTCCCTGTCGCTTTTGCGGCTTTATTAAAAATCAGTTTCCATTTTTAAGAGCGTGTTTTTATTCGTATGAATGTAGCGGGAAGAATATGAGTTGATATTGAGGGAGGTCCGCGAGTTGTCGTCTCGCATTCCGTTCCCTTAGTAGATCGCCTTGTTCGTTTGCCCGTCGTAGGATGTTTGGTAAATCGAGTGAGCGTTTAGATATAGACGAAGAGACATGCCTTTAGGATCTCGATTCATTCCTTGAGACGTTAGCGACCAGTGTGCTGTTTAGGGCAAGACCTAGGTTTACTTTCGGATTAAGGCTGTGCGATGACTAGTCGGCTTTCGTTTTGCCCGTTGCGATTTTAACCTGATTCCATACTGATTTAGAATCCGCGATAGGTTCTCGGCTTATATGATTCGTCTGGTTGGAACCGAGCATCTTACCGAGAACAATTTCTAAGTTGCCCAGAAGTGCTCACCAAAAGTTTGGATTTCTTTTATAGTGCTATTACCCTTGTGTCGGGTGTTCGAGAGCTATCTCTGCGAGATAACTTAAGTTTGTTTAAGACTGTTGCGAGTTCGTTGTGATCAGCAGCGAACTATTTTTTAGTGATAGATGTTTACGTAGTTTGGGCCTTCGCGAATGATACGTACGTTAAGAAGTTTTGCGTATTTTATAGTCGCGAACGGACTGTTAGGTCTTCCAAGAAAATGACTTTATCGAGGAAGGTATTTGTGTCGAAAAACTAATCTCCGGGCGTCTGCGACGTCTCGCAGTGCCGAAAGTTGGTTTTTATTTTATATGCCGCGTTTCGTGTTCGGAACGTTTGCGGGCTCGAAGATGNCATTATCCGTTGAACGTATTGGCTTGGCGTGAAGGTTGTGTTCAGCCGCACAACCAAAGTCGTATTTGGTAGAGGATTAGACCGCGACACTTTCGTGCTATCGAAAAGGTCGAGTCGGTTTGTAAACTTGGCATTGAAGTGAAGCGCAATCGGACAATAGCCAAGTAGCCTTTGTCGAGCTTGATATGCCAAGTATGCCGATGGGCGAACTAGTTGAGTGTCTGTTAGTTTGCCCATCGGCGAACTAAGCCGGGCCGGCTTAGTTCGCCGAAGGGCGAACTAGTTGAGGGACTCCTAGTTCGCCCATCGGCGAACTAAGCCGGGCCGGCTTTGTTCGCCGATGGACGAACTAGTTGAGTGACTCTTAGTTCGCCGATAGGCGAACTAGTTGAGTGACTCCTAGTTCGCCCATCGGCGAACTAAGCTGGGCCGGCTTAGTTCGCCCATGGGCGAACTAGTCGTGACTAGTTCGCGTTTTACGGCTGTTTCGGTTTTTTGCGGTTTCGTAAAACGATTCTTCGAGTTTTATTAAACGATCTCTGAGTTTTATAAAACGATTCTCGAGTTTTGTAAAACGATTCTTCGAGTTTTATAAAACGATCCTTGAGTTTTATAAAACGATTCTCGAGTTTTATAAAATGATTCTTCGAGTTTTATAAAACGATTCTCGAGTTTTATAAAACGATTCTTCGAGTTTTATAAGACGATTCTCGAGTTTTATAAAACGATTCTCGAGTTTTATAAAACTATTCTTCGAGTTTTATAAAACGATTCTCGAGTTTTATAAAACAATTCTTCGAGTTTTATAAAACGATTCTCGAGTTTTATAAAACGATTCTCGAATTTAATAAAACGATTCTTCGAGTTTTATAAAACGATTCTCGAGTTTTATAAAACGATTCTCGAGTTTTATAAAACGACTCTTGAGTTTTATAAAACGACTCTTCGTTTTAATAATTGACTTTTGCGGAAAGTAATGATTCCAGAAGTTATCGTAGACGTTGATTTCGAGATTATGGTTTTTGACACCAACAAAAACGATTCTCGAGTTTTATAAAACGATCCTCGAGTTTTATAAAATGATCCTCGAGTTTTATAAAATGATTCTTTGAGTTTTATAAAACGATTCTTCGAGTTTTATAAAACGATTTCTCGAGTTTTATAAAACGATCTTTCGAGTTTTATAAAACGTATTTTTATTTTTACTTTTGCGGATACTTTTAGCCATTGATTCCGTCGTGACCGATTTTGACACCAACAATCATGGGGTTAAGATTAAACATGAGGATTAGTGAGTAGACTCTCTTTGAGCTTATGGGTAGGGTGATTAGGGTGATTAAGTGATGATCTAGGGTGATTAGTGTTAGATCCTTCTTGTCCTATGCTTATTACTTATTCCTAATGCTAGATTAGACCTAATCCTTTTAAACTAGAACATTAGGCATTTTCTGCCCACAAGGTGTATGATGAAATGCCTGAACCAAAGTAATAATGCTTTTTGCTTGCTTAACCAAGGATACTTCATGTTATGAAGGCTTAGATGGTTAGTAGACTTGTTCTCAATGATTGCTTGATTGATTTGGACCAATGACCATTTGTGTTTAAAGATTGATAGCAAATGAGCTTTTACCTTGACCAAAGACTAGCTTAGAATTGTGTCTAGACCTATAGAATATGAATGATTGCTTGAAACCTCACCCTAGATAGTAACTTGATCACCCAAAGTCAACACCCTTATCCATATGCTCTTTTATCTCATTGAAACCAAAGCTTAGTTATTCTTGTTTACATATTTCTTGTTACTAGTTACTTATAAAACAAACCCTCATTGATTACATTTAGATTAAGCAATGTCTTACATTCTCTTTGTTCAATAGCTCTCATTATTGGATTGACACTCTACTTACTTTACTACATTGATTTGCTCTAAGGCTTAAAAACCCTTATCATCTGGTTCCTTGGCTTCCCTGACGGCTAAGAAATCGAGCTTGAAGCGGAGGATGGGCTCTCCGATATCTGGATCGATCAGCTTTTCAGATCCTTACGATGAGTCTGAGCTCGGGGTCTTGGCTCCGGCTCTTTTAACTTATGTCTCACCGCCTTCTTTGGAGGTGGATCCATTGTCGTCAGTGAAGGAGGATGATTTAATATAGTGGCGAAAAGATTACCAGCTCTCTTCCTCCGTCGTCCTTCGCGTCCCTTCTTCGTCTGAGCGTGCTTCTATGGGCAAGCCATAAGAGGGTGCGGTTTACGAGGATTTCTTTGAGTCTGGTTTCCGAGACAATATTCCGTAATTGATTGCGGATCTCTGCGACTTCTTTCGGATTTCTCCCTCCCAGCTGAATCCTCCGGCTTGGCGTATCCTTATTGCCATTCAAAATTTGAGTGACGTGGAATGCCTTCCTCTGGGCGTCGAGGAGGTGCTGTTTGCTTATCATCTTGCTCCGCTGAATGGAGGGGAAGGTCGCTTTCACTTTCAGCCTTGCAGTGGCCTTCCTATCGTCGAGGAACTTCCAAAAAATGATCGCAAGGGTTTTTCTTTCGTGAAGAGGATGCCAGAAAGATATGCGTTCATGACTCTTCCCGGTTCGGTGGAACCTTGTAGGTAAGAAGAGTTGACATCTTTGAGCGATGGTAGGATTTACTTGACTGATTTTCTTCCTAGTAATATTTTGCAGGTGGGACTCATCCGGCCCGTACGGGCGGAGAAGCCAATGTTCTCAGGGCCCGTGCCCTTCCTCTTGCGCAGCGTCAGGTGGCCTATCTCCTAAGTCCCGCCGTGTTGGGTCGTATCAGGCTTTGGGGTGAATTCCTTTCTTTGATGCTAACCATATTCCTTTGCTTTGTTGACTTGACTGATGATGATTATTTTAAGCAGACGGCATGGTTAAAGAGCATCCTATGGAGATCTTAACAGGGAAAATGAGACTATTTCGGCGCGGAAGGGTGTTGCTACCTCAGTCGCTTCGGGGGACGACGTTATGATAACTGGGAGCAGCCGTAAGATGGTGATCAAAAGCGAGGCCGTTTCCTCTTCTCATGGAAGAAAGTTGAGGAGTAGGACGACCAATCGGTTGTCTCCACGAACTTTTGGCTCTGAACACGTGGCTGGAGGTTTATCCCGAAGTTCTTAGAAATCTAAATGCTAGGGTGTTCTAGCAGGAGAGTGTCCTTTCTTCGGGTGGAGATCCCGCGGAGGTGATCTTAATGCTTCAAGAGAAACTTCTTCAGGTAAGGCCAAGATTCTTGCTCTCGTTTCAGCCTTGTTATCGTGAATCTGATGGGATGATTCTTCGTACAGGTTGCTTCTTTGTTTCATCATCTGGGAGCTCGATTTCCGGAGGAGGATACGTCCTCAATCAAGGAGGAAGCCAAGGAGTTGTCCCGACAGTTGTCTGAGGAGAAAAATAGGAGAATCGCTCAAGGGATGGAGTTGCGTGACCTTCAGGCCAAGATCAAGGCGATTGAAGGGGCGGTGGAGACCTCTTCCTCAGAAGCTTTAGCGCTAGGCCGCAGGAATCAGGAGCACGAAGAGGCTTTGGAGAAGCTAAGAACCGAGATAAAGGCCTCGGAGGACGTGAAAGTGATGGCCGTGAATGGGGAAAAAATCACCTCCTGATGTGAAGTGATGCGAGATTGGCTTGCTGGGGGGGGGGCATAGCTGGGACCTGGCCAGGGAGTTGGACCGATATAAGACTGTGATTCTTGCCGAGGCCAAGTTTAGAGGTGCGGATCCTCTATCTTGCGCCGATGAACCAGCCATTCCTATGTCCTCCGGCTCTGGTAGATCATGAATTTAAGATTTTGCCTATCTTTACTTTGTTGTTTTACTTGTCTGAACTTCTTCAAGTCCTGATTTTTGTTGCTTGTTATCAACAAAGTTTCTTTTCATGCGCGTGTTTGCCTGGTTAAGATCTTGTTGGCTTGTGTAGTATGTTGGGGACGGACTATCAGAATCGTATTTTCGTCTGCCTAATCCCTGGGGATCTTAGGGCCTTTGGAGGATTCTAGGAACCCAAGATCTCCAGTTGGGCTCTGCATTCTTTCACTCAGATGTGGAGATATGAGGTTTCTTCGTGGAAATAGGAACTCGTAGTTCTGAAATCGGCGGTCGTTGTCTGGGCCCGGAGATTCTGATTGAGCCTAGAGATTCAATGCTCTGGTCCGAGGATTCTCTTGGACCCGAAGGTCTATGGCTGGGCCCGGGGGCCGTAAGTGTAAAATTCAAAATATTGAACACTAGAACTCGGAAGCTCATTCTTTAACCCTGAGGTTAGGTACTAGACTGTAAAAGTTTAAGTCAGTTGCTTGGGACCCTAGGGTCTGTCCTATAATACAAGGACGGTTTTTCAGAACCCTGAGGTTTTCCGAGTAACTCTAAGGTGCTTGACCTGAACCCGGAGGTGAGTAGATAAGAGATGTAAAATTTGGGATTTTGAACATCGGGGACCCTGGGGTCGGACCATGAGGTCGTTATTTTGAGATTGTATTCTGCATCCCTTGGGTAGGCCACTATCGATCTTTAGTGAGAATGTAAAATTTGGGATTTTGAACATTCAGGACCCGGAGGCTTGTTGGATCGTATTATTCCCCCCTTAGGTGGGCCACTACCGATCTTATGTAAAAATGTAAAATTCGAAATATTGAACGTTTGGGGCCCGGAGGCCCGTTGTCATCGAGAGCGTATTCTGCCCCCCTTAGTTGGGCCACTACCGTTCTCGGGTAAGGATTCACATTCTGCTACTTGGGCCACTATCGAGATCCTGTAGTGCTGCACTCTTCTTTCTGCAGAAAGCCACTCTCAGTCTTATATATTTTTGCTGGGGTGGGTATACTTGGAAGTAGTGAGCCCCGTACCAGACTTGCTGCTTTCCACGTCTGGATAAGAAGGATAGAAGTGCTCCCGGGGTTTTGTGCACCGTCTGCTCCCTGAGACCATGGGGCTGATCTCAATACTCTGCAGTTATACGTCATGCCCCCTGCATCTCGTGTAGCTCGTAGAGTGTTTGATGCATGGATTGAGGCACTAGTACGTGTGGCCCCCTTGTAGATTACGGCTCAAGGCCTATTCGCAGAGGCTGAGGTATTGTCGACATTGTACTAAGGTTGATCAAGTCCGTTCCAATTCGCATACCCAAATACTTATATATGTGAAACATGTCACGTAGATACGAGGACCGAGGTTCCCCTTGGGGCCGGTCCTGCTTGGCGGTTTTGTATGTGAAACATGTCACGTAGATGTAGGGTTCGCCAGGATCGAGTTGCCCCTTGGGGCCCGATCCAGCTAGTATGCCCCTTTTAAGTTCATGTGACTCCTTTAGTCGGAACTAAATTATGTTATATAAGCTTAGTCCGTAGACGTTTTAGCATACATAGGACCATGAAACAAGTGTACTTAAAATATATAGATAGCTAGGTGTCTGTAGAAAACCCGATCCGGATATCTAATTAGAGGTGGTAGAACTTGAGGTGCAGGGCATTCCAGCAGTTAGGTTGGACCTTTCCTTTGCTGTCTTGCAGCTTGTAGGCTCCTACTGTTGAGAAGGCTTCAATGATCACTTGTGAGAGTACTTGGTGGTTATTCAAAGAGGGGAAGCCAATCTAGTGAAGGGCAGTTCACGGATGGTTACCAATGTAGAAGAAGCAACCAAGAATTAGTATTGAGAAGTGTGGAGAAGTGTGGTGATGTGCAAGGAAGTTCTGATAACTCTTGCATCACCTTGAGGGCCATGATCCAGGGTCTTTGTGTGTCCATCACACTGATGAGAACACAAAGACCCACTGGCCAATCCCTAGGTCTTGTAAGGTTCTACTCTTTTCCTTATGAGGGTTTTATCCCTAAGGAGGGTTTTC